ATTTTTTTTTTTTTTTTTTTTTTTTGAACAGATAAAGGGGGTGATCAAAAAAAGAAGAAAAAAAAAAAATTTTAGCATTAAAATATATTTTTTTTTTATTGCTTTTTTAAATTTTTCTTTTCTCTTTTCTCTTTTCTCTTTTCTCTTTTCTCTTTTCTCTTTTCTCTTTTCTCTTTTTTCTTTTCTCTTTTTTCTTTTCTCTTTTTTCTTTTCTCTTTTTTCTTTTCTCTTTTTTCTTTTCTCTTTTCTCTTTTTTCCATTTTCAATTTTCCTTTTTCCCTTTTTTTCCCTTCTCTTTTCCCATTTTTCCTTTTTCTTTTCCCTTTTTTCCCTGTCCTTTTCCCATTTTTACTTATTCTTTTTTTTTTCCTTTTTTTGTTTATTCTTTTTTTTTTCCTTTTTTTACTTTATTTTTTTTTTCATCTAATTAAAAAATGGGAATTTTTATCAATATATCATTATTTATTTGTATTCAAAATTATTAACAAATTCATATTTTTGATAAAAACAATTTGGAAAATTTATTTTATTTTTTTTTTTTTATAAGAAAAGTATACATAAAATCTTTCGTAATCTGTTATATATTATGTATAACGAATTTTTTTTATTGTAAATTTTAATTATCTAATTAAACACTTGACATACGTTATATATATATATATAAATATTTACACATTTAATTACTTTATTAATGATATATGTTATTTTTTATTAATTATAAATATAATTAAGTAAACGTTTTCAATAAAAAAGAAATGCTACGTTTTTAATAAAAAGAAAAAAAATCGTTATAGATTATTTTACAAAAATATAAATATAACGTGTAAAAAATAATCATACTGAAATATGTCTATTGATATATATGATTTTAATTTTCCTACAATTTTTATAAATAATTTTTAAAAATTTTAATTCAGAATATACAGATTATTGAATACAAAGAATATAATTTTAAACTTGCTAAAATATATTTTATCTTTTTTTTTTTTTTTTTTATTATTTTTATCTTTATGATTGTAAACAAAATAAAATAATATAAAAAGAAAAACTTGAATTCTACGATTTAATATCTTCATAACAATACAGATATATTAAATTGAAAATATAAAATATGAGAAATTGCACTTTTAAATAAGTAGAAAAATAAATAGTAAATGGAAAAAATTGTAGAAAATAAAAGTAAAACACAAATGAATAAAAATATATATACCAAACATTTGTTATTATTAACTTGTTACAATTATGAGAACTCAAAAATACAAGAAAACAAACTTACAATATATTTAAATAATAAAATAAAATAATGATAAATTTATAAATGATTATGTGAAGAAAAAAAAAAAAAAAAAAAAAAAAAAAAT